TGTAATGGTTAATTTTGTTGAGCATCACACCCCTTTACAAACCTGGACATCCCACCGTCTTTCGTCCGACGCCACGACGAGGTCGTGAGACTAAACTAATCTTTAAATCCAATCAAGTTGCGGTTGCCATTCCCTAATATTGTGGTCTAAAAGTATAAATTGTGGATGCCCAAAAATCTCATCTGGCAATCCCCCCGCCCCCTCAAGGGGTGAAGTTGGTGTATAAATTCATACCTGTAAATTTTGAAAATGTGCTGCAAAGCAACCACCCCTATTCCAACCCCATGCAGGAACAGATACAAGATTGAAAGTTAGTGGAAGTGGGCTAGATACTGTACCGTCTATCTCAGGTCCATGATTGAAAAAGTCAAAGCGATGTGTACGGTACATTCATATAATTCATAATTATCATTATATATTCATTTCAGAAAGTAATGGAATTGAGAAAAAGTGGTACGGCCATAGGCGGTGCGCATCCGACGGTCCTGTACCTAACCTAATAACCCCTTTTAACTTCCATTTAGTTCTGTGTAGCTGTTTTTGAGATATTTTGAACAGAAGAAACACGCACGAACTTAAGGTAGATTTATACCGAATCAGACTCGTATGGCTAACGAATATTCATTTATTATTTATTTATTTATTTATGTGTACATGTCTTTGTTAAGGGGCAGTTTAGACAAGCCTTCTGCTTTTTAACTGTCCCTTGTCCACTTTGTTATTTTATTTTGAATGATTAATGTTATACTATCGAATTTATGTGGATGAATAGTTATATTGAATTGAAATTGAAACGAAAAAAGAAAATACAATCAGTGATAAAGAATAGAGGCGCATACTAGACGTGCATCGAAAACATTCTACGAATTTCGGTTCGGATCGGGTGTGAATGCAGCTTTAGAAGTCATGGCAGATCCACGAATATGAAACAGAGGGAGCCAAAAGAGGGACTTTCACAGATGGAAGAGTCTATATTACCTCAGCCCCACCATGACCCTCAATTTCACACCCAAATTTGGATCGTCACCAACACTTAATAATTTCTTCCTCGTAACTTGGTTAAACTTTCACAAAAATTTCATTCATATCAGTTGATTAGTTTTTTAAATATCTTGTCTAGGACGTTTGCTCTTAAATCCCTTTGAATGGACCTCACATCCGCACCCTACTCCGGACCGTCACCAAAATTTAATCATTTCTTTATCGGGTTATACCTAAAATACCTAACACTTCAAATGTTATTTTCAATTATGTCTGTGCAGCTGTTTTAGAGATATTTCGAACACCACACGAAAACACCAAAATGTGACACACACACACCCACACTCACATCACTGAAAACATGTATCTGCTGGCGGACACAACAAATAATAATTACTAATAAAAACAATAACAATATCAAGAGCAATAATACCAATACATCAACAACTTACTACTGTAAATACTATACCGGTATTAATTCCACCACTACAGTTAAATTGTTTACGTACTCTACAAGCCTAGAAGTACTCTGTCGCATGTACGTACTCTGTGTAAATCGTACTGGTGTACTTACCTGCGTAACAACAGCCAAACAGAAATTCGCAGTCTTGTTATCCACTCTTCCGTCTATATAGGCTATCCGTCTAGTCCAAGTAGAGTAATACCCGACAGTAAGCATATTATACCTGTGGCCAATGTACAACACGTACGTCCTGATTAATTCCCGCCGATTTCGATGATTCAGAGGTTGCGTGGCTTACATTGAGAGAGATAAAGAGCGAGATGCGGCATGTGCGATGTTTCGTTACTATCCTTCATCAAAGCGTTCATACGTCTTTTGTAACTACTGTTCCACTGAATACCGAAGATAAAGGATTAATTGCTCTGCTCGCACAATAATTTGTCTTGAAGTAAGATTGAGTAAGTTTGACCAATAGCGACCGCCGTAATACCCGAGAACACGCAAAAAGGGCGGGATTTGACAGTGAACCAGATGCGCATGCTTTAATCACACGCATATCATCAACAAGAATAAGTTCCTTGTAATCCGAAGACCTTTAGGAACATTATATGTACGTGCGTAGACCATTACGATTGTGTCTACTTCGCTATACCAATACAAAGTAAATCATTATACTACATTTAATAATGTCCGTACGTAATAAAGACCAATTTGTATGCATCTCTTAACAATGTATGTTATATTGAGTCTCATTTACTTCTATGATTGGTAATTTTGTGCCAAATACAAATTCAGCATTATAACAATAACTAGTTACTACAATAAAAAAAATGTTTTAACAAGGACAATATTTGGAATGACAGACGTAACTAGCAACCTTTAGTTAGAACAATAATGAGTCGTAGTATGCAAAATTAAATCATAAAATAAAATAAAAACGTGAATCAGTTTATTGAATTTTGTTTTTTCTTGTCGCAAGGAACGTATTACTTTTCATGTAATATTAACTGTTTTGTCGCAAAATTGTTGAAAAAAACTGGGATTCAGTCGATATGACTATGTCTTTATTATAAAATAATCATGAAGAAATATGTTTACACCAACGAAATCACGGGTAGGAGTTTTGTTTTTGGTTTTTAGTCGGCAGAACAATGATAAACCAATGTTATAATATTTTCATGTTAAAACATGAAAGTGGCTGATCAAGTCCTGCCTTTGTATTTTTTTTTTCCATATATTAAACAATGTTATATGCCTAATGTGTTTATTGAACTGTCACCGGCGATCGAGACAATTATTAAAGGCGAATCCTGTTGTACATCGTCGATAATAATATCACAAACAAACTTCTTACGCGAGTATCGCGAGAAATCGGCAGGCCCTATAGGCATGTAAAACTACTCTGTTTATCGAAGTGTATTTACATAATTCTTCATTTAGTATTATATTATTGAGTGTTGATAACTTATAAGTTCAACTTATAAATGAAATTAAAACACGAAACTGTCTTTACGAGAGATTAAGTCAAGAATCAAATTTTTCAAATCATGAACATCATATGAATATCCTTATGATGATTGATTCATCTTAAATGTGACCGCCCTTTTCTGAACAAGCTTACTGTTAAAAAGCTAGGCTAGGTTATTCATCGCCCTCTTGTGACGTCACATCAACTATTTGCATAACATATTTTACGCAACAATACGCACTATGAGTTGCAATGATTTAGAAGCAGATAGATTGAAACCGTCTCTAGCATTTAACAACTCCATTATTCACTTTCATCATATACACACCCATTAAAGTAATTGTTTCCATGACGACAGGAACAGTTACAAGTGTCTAATATTCCTCGCCATAAAGCATCCGAACGAGAATTTATATTGAAGCATTAGAAGAATTGCGGATCAAGCAATACAAAAACCCGGATCTATCATCATCCTCTACCGTATACTTTCACTTTATATGTCCATGTACTGATTGTAGTTCGATGTGTTTGTAAGTGTGTGTGGATATTTATATTATAGTTAATATTAAGCAATTAGTATAGCTGCGTGTAGTACATTAGCGAAAAATCATTATACGAAGGTTAGATTGCATGAAGAAATGTTCTGCATGCACGGTTCCAACGTAGGCCTAAATAGGATATGGGCTCACAAATAATTATACAAAGTCGCGGGATTCACGCTGCAGCCAATATAAAAAAAATATTTTGAAGCATATGCCGATGGGCGGACTGGACCCAAATAGTAAATTACTGGTCCCGTAACTAAACACAGCACTCGGTTTCGACATTTGAGCACTTTATAATATGCATTTAATATTATTTTTCGTTCAGTAATAATTATTATCGATTTTTTCTTCTAAAAATGACGGACGTCCATCCATGTTGTTCAGTTGATATCAGATAAATAAAATTAAAATGATCAATCGGATATCAAGACAACTGAACAGACAATAGAAAATGAAGGATCAACTTTACTTAACGGCGTAATAAAATAGTGACGCAAAACGGACATCACACATAACCACACTTATTTACATGTTATATTTTGTCAATTACATGACACTAATAATTATCTTGATGTTTACCTCATGCATACCGCAAAAGACATCTATCAACCCATTGGAAACGTTGAATCTTGCACCGCATAAACAAATGTGCGTCGGATTTAATTTGATAAAAGTTTATCATGAATACCAAATCCACGTTCACATCAAAACTGGCGTGGGAGTCTTGTTAAACCATTTATGAACACTCTCGGGAATTAAAAATACTACTTAATTCATATACAGTATATCTCAAACTTCAAAATAAAAAAAGGACTTTTACTTATTGTCAAATTGCGTCCGGCGATAACATAATGGATAAATCCAATAAGCCTACGTAACTGATGGAGGGGAAAATAACCAATATAAACTTATAAGTGCTTCTTTTTTCTTTTTTTAAGGCCAACTTCACAACTTAAAGATTCTAGTCTTAGTCTATGTAACATAAATACAAGATGCAGTATAGATATAACAACAAATTACTTGAGAAAACAGTGCTTTGTGACTACGACAGCCATCAATACTATGAGCATATACTCACGCATTTATTCAGACCGTTGTAACTGACAATTCCAGGTTTGAAACTATTGTTTCAACTCCCAAAACACATTCATAGAACAGTTTACTAGTACGCGGCTTCCTGAACGTTTTACCTTCTATTTAAAGTAACTTTGCAGATTTGTGATGCAATCATGGTATTTAAATTCATAATTTTAAAATAATGTACTGCCACTTAAAAACAAATCTAACACAATAAAATATATGCACGCCATTGTGTTTTGAACGTCAATGTGCATTTGAATACTTGAAGTATGTATTATACTATCTTATCTGAGGTAATCAGTGAACCTTTCGGTTTCAGTAAGATACAGAAGATCGAAAAGGGGGGTTTCAATCATTCACAGACGTTTCACTAAAAGTATATTGCTTTCAGTAATTTCAGGGTATATGCAGAATATGGCGCTAAATGAAAGTTAGAGAAAAGTTCAAAGACCAACTAAAATATGGACAAAATTAATTGAAGATGATCTCAGAAATATTGTGGACACCAACAAGCACTTGACACACCCGGTCCGTGACAGAAAGCACTGGCTCGAATTGGTAGTACGCGCAATGTCTAACGACGAATATAGCGTACAGATGATGATGATGCGGACTATAAAATGGCATCTCTTAAGCATTCGATAATTGACTAGTTTTGTTCATTTAAAAGCTAATAACTTATTGAAATCTACATTAAACAATTCAATTTTGTTCTTTAATATTCAAATATTCTTAGATTTAGGTGGCAGTATCATCGTTTTCAAGCATGGTGAGTCCACTGCTGGAGAAAAAAACTAAACAGTTTAGCATGCTACTTCCAGAAGTACGTCTCGGTCACCTACTCTTAGGTTTGCATACAGTGGCGGTTACAGGGGGCGGCCAGCCGGCCATGCCCATCCCCCCACCCACCCACACACATTTGTGCCATAATGATAACAATTTCTTACCACAGCCCCCAACCATGGTAGGGCTGAGGTGGGTGGACCCTCTATTTGTGAAAGTCCCTCTCTGGCCGCTCTATTACGAATTCCTGAATTCCGTCACTGGCATATCCAGTATTTTTCGAATAAATAGATAATCTTTATGTTATGCTAACAGAACTATGATGTCATCGAAAATACATATTTAATAATGATGGTATTTATTATCGATTTACACAAGGAAATTGTATGTTCATTTCTTCTAATCATACAAAACAATTGACTGAAACATACTTTGAACTGTCTTTATTTTCAGCTTCAATAGTTCAAAAAGAAATCATAACAACTGAAAAACCCTTAACACTAAATCCTTTTAACAAATATGTTAAAGCCTTATTTATAGCTAAAAGCGAATAACTTATCCATCAATGCATAACATTCTTATATATATTTACAAAGTGCTTTTGTAAACAACAATTATTATTTAATATTTAAATTTTTAAAATTGTACCCTCCTTTAAATATTTAAACGACCTAAATGAAAATTAAGTTGCATACTTTATGCTTAAGTATCATCTTCACAAACTCCCAGCCCCTATTGAACATTTAATTAACTTGAACCAAACTCAGATCGAGGAAAAAACATTACAAAATGTTAATAATATGCACATCTTGTTTAACAGACTAGAAACAAGTACAGGTAAAAGATACATATTTATTAATGGCCCATCATATTGGAATGATCTTCAAACCACCTTAGTACCAAACAAATGAAATCCGTCCCAACTCTTATAAGAAGATGATATTTGAAACATATACAGTGCACCCTCCATTTTGAGACCCCTCTAAATCCGAGACCTTCTAATTCGAGAACACTTTTCCAAAGACCCAAATAAAAATCCTCAACCTTTTAACACAAAGCTAGCCCTCTAATTGGAGACCAACCCCAAGACCACCTCAAATGTTTAGGTCCCAAAGGTTATCTTGAATTGGAAGGCGAGCTGTATTACAACTTAGTTAACTAGGGCCCTTTGTAAATAGTAATCTTTTTGTTATATCATTTGTACAGTCGGTGGTTTGACTGGGGAGAGGTGGGATTGCAGGTCTCCCCCTGTTGGGACCCCTTCGATTGGGGATTGCTGGAATTGGAGTATCCACATCTAGATGTGTATAAGAGACAGCGGTTTCGACATTTGAGCACTTTGTAATTATTCTACATATTTTAACACTAAAATGCCTGATTCTAGAACATTTTGTATTCTAAAGGCTCTGAAAACACATCCTTAAATTTAGTTAGGTCTTTTTGAGACCATGTATCAGTAGCTGAATTTGAAATGAAATAACTTAATATTTTATTGCTATGAAATGTTTTGGAAATAATCAGTTATTTAATTTCATACTGTAGAACTACAAATTGAAGCCATGGGCTTCTTTTTTTTTTTGCAATCTTTGGATGGGCTTCTTTTCGAGATGAGCATTTTTTTTGGACTAATTTTGCAAAGTAATGGGGGGGGGGGGTTCTTTTCAAAATGAATAAGTAATGGGGGGGGGGGGGTTCTTTTCAAAATGAATGCTGTAAATTTTGGGAAATACTATTAAAAAACAATAGGGCCACTGTAACATCAGTCTGCATCATGGAGTGTATTAACCAGCATTAAATCTCCTTAACTACTGTATAAACCAAGCATGTTTTTAATATATATTGTTTACTTGAAATTCATGTACAGTGTATGTATAACTGTCCTATTTTGAAAAGAAGCCCTTAATACCTTGAAAAGGCTTCTTTTCGATGGGCTTCTTTTTGAGGCTACTTTTGCAATCTAAAGAGGGAGCTTCAATTCGAGATGAGCTTCTCGAGATTAGGCCTAATCCCACTGGGCTTCTATTCGATGTTTTATGGTATGCATCTATTGAATGACCTTCCATATTCAGTTTAAGTTTATATCAAAAAATTTGAAAACATTGGCAAGTTACTAAATTCTTACATTTATTTGAAAGTTGCTGAACGTCTGTGTCTCCAGAAACACCCACCTGAAATGAAAACAAAATAATAATTGATGACCAATGATGATGACGATGAAGGTAATGCTGATGATGTTGATTTATAACAGAGGGATCCAAGTGTGGTCACCCAATGATATCAGTTAGAATCAAACACTTAATCATGAACAAATGGAACATCTCCTGTACTCACCTGAAAGAATGACTGGAAGAATGGATTGCCATCTGTATCTGGTTGTCCAATGCTCTGTTCTTGGCTTGGTCTTTCCTTATCCTTCTGCTGCCGAACAATTATTTAGTCATGAGTTACATCACATTAATTCTGCTTGCACCATATACACTGGCTTAGACAACAGTGTGTCCAAAGGTGTTAACATAGGGTGCTGATGGAGAGGCTGCTGGAGTGGGTATGAAGTGATATTTGAGAGAACTGAAAATTCCCAACTACTAGTACTTGAGTGTTGTTTGCAATTGTGTTGTTACCAACTGTTTTTAGGGGGCTTTCCCCCATTTCCCTTTGAGATAAGCCTCTGGGCTTAAACCAGGAAGGTAAAAGATTCATTAATCATTCAACATTAGTCTTGTAATGCACATTCATTATATGTCACCTGAGGGCTATATATAATAAGAACACCATGTGTCTCTTTTTACCTGATTTGTTTTAAACATTGGACGCTTTCCAAATTGGAAGCCAGGGCTTTTGTTGCCGCTTGCCTCAAAATGTGCCTGGTGTGTTTCAAACAGGGATCTGCCATCATCTGGTAGCAACACTTGGTATGTGTTCATTGGTGTGTTGTCTATAGTACTCAATGCTGTTACCACTGCAATTTAAATCAATTTTGATTACCAGTATTTTCCGCAGTATATATCTCTGAATTAGTCCTTTTCCACACACCAATCTAATAAATTTTATTATTCTGGTTCATTTACTGGACTCTTGGCATCCACTTTGGCATCTATCATTATCTTTCTAATCATTATAATTGCAACCTTACTTCATATTTGATTGCTAAGGAAACCTTATACAGATATACCTTGATGGTCTGTTCCACTAGGGTGTTCTGCAACAGCATGTGGTCCAGACGTACCATCTTCCACAGCATGCTCGGGTATGCTGGTTTTAGCTTTTGATTGATTCTCCTGAAAAATTGTATTAATCTATAGAAGGTGCTACTGTATAAAATGCATTGAAACACATAATAATATTGTATAACATACAAGACAGCAATTAACTAATATCACAGATGGCAGGAGTGGATTCAGAGGAAAATCTGCATAGTGACCTCATGTGAAGCACCGTTGTTGTCACTGCACCACCTCAACTGCTTCGATGTTACAGATCAGAAAGCAGTACCATTGATTTGAACTAAAACAATTTCTATTTTACACATACCAGTTGGAGATCTTGGTTTCTATGATTGTTTTTGACGATCTGTTGTTGGCAAGGGGACTGTGATTGTCTATTTGTTATGACTTCTCTATCCACAGCAGATGGCAGGATTGTTTTTGGCAATTCCTGTAAAAAAGAAAAATGTATGATTCTAAACAGGGAAATATTAGAATATAGATAATATATATGATGGGCCTACATTTCTATAATTATCATTACTGGTTTGAATGAATGAATGAATGAATGAATGAATGAATGAATAAATGAATGAACGAATGAACAAATGAAAAAATGAATAAATGATTAAATGGATGAATGGATGAAAGATTCATGGATGGATAAAAAGATCAACATGAATGAACATGGATACTCACACATTGGGCCGAAACTCTTTGAGTTGGTCTCTGTTCTTGTGGTCCTTCCAAACTACCCTGACGTGGTTGATTTTGAAGATACTTTCCTGGTCCTGACGGCAATGGTCGTGTCTGAACTTGAGTATCGATGACTGGTGTCAGGCTCTGAGATGTCTGTACAGTTTGATCACTTGGTTTAGGTGATGGCTGGTAGAGGGTTGGAATTTGAAAATACATGCTCATGCTTGTGGCTTTCTCTTGAGATTTGTCTGTCTGTGAGCTAGTGTAAGTGGCTGTACTGGTCCTAAGTGATGGCAATCTTGTTGTTACTGGTGTGGCTCTGGGTTTGCAATGGATGAGGTTAGGAGGGCATGAAATCTGAGGTTGATTCGCTGCTGTCATCTGCAGGGTTCTAGGCTGAAAATTCCTTGTAGTTCCAAGTAACGAGGGAGAATTAATCTCCAGCTGGGGTATATAATGTGCCTGATATTTAGTCTTGTCTGGTTGTTGATTGAGATAAGGCATAGAGACAGAAGGCAGATAGGGCTTTGAGGGAACAACTGGTTTTGGGACGGACAGAACCTGAGGAATGGACGGAACTTGGGGAAAGGATGGAATCTGAGGGATAGATGGAACATGAGGAATCATGAGGTTTTGGTCTTGTGTTGTAGACACTGTGACAGCTGTCTCTGTCGATCTTACATGTAACCTGTGTAAGGAAAAAAAAAAACAAATAAAATTGGTTGCAGGATTCAATGTAGAAATGAGGCAAATTAGGTGCCAAGGACAAAAAGTACAGTATTCTAAAGGATTCTTCAAGCATACAGGAAGACCCATACACATAATTTGTGAAATTTCTAGTAAACATACATTTCAGAAATAAGGAAAAAGGTATATTGGTACAGTAGGAGATCTATCTTGTGCACTTACTCCCTCTGTTTAGATTGAGTCCTCTGTTCTATTTTCCACTGCTGTGCAATTCTCAACTGATTGGCTCTTTCCTCTTGTATTTTCTTCTTGGTACAATATTCCTGAATAAAAATAACTATAATCACTATAATAATAATATATCACTATAATGATAATGTATATAGCTGTAGAGGTGTAATACTGTGTACTGCTTTTTCTACTACCCTCTATTGGTACAGGTTTGACAAGTAGTTAAAATATAATATTAGAGAACATTACCTGCATTAGTCTGTTTTGCCTTTCTTTCTCTTCTTTCACTTCTATGAGCATTTGTTGATTAATTTCCTGTATTTGTTTTATTTCTTTTTCCACTTGAAATGTTTCAGTCTTCATCTTTGCTCTGATACATAAAATAGTTAAGCCAACAAACATAGTGTAGTAACTGGGAAATTAGGAAGATGTTCGTTATTGGGGGGGGGGGGGGGGGGGGGTTTCAAACATAGAAAGAATGGTGCTGTAGTTTGACGGGAAGCATAACATGGATATGTAGCCCTTGTTCATTTCAAACATTTTTAATTTCATATCCAGGTATTGTATTTTTAAAATTCTTTTTGCACAGGAAATAATGACAAAATACAGCTTAATACAAAATTCTAGGCATTAACTGTTCAATGCATGGGTTCAACCCATGCACAATTAAATCAAACAATTAGATAAAATTGAAAAGATAGCATTCATATTAATAAAGTGAATATCTGACTGGAAGCACAAAGATAAAAGATACAGTTTAACGACACAATTCGTCCAAGTCTGGTTGGTACTCTCTGAGAAAAATAACGAAGATATTGTTTATCAGAAGAATAAGGCAGTAATCTCATCAATAGAGCACACTCTACAGTATACTAAAGAATGTAGACAAAATTAGTGCATAATGATTGCAGTTATGTGGCTTGCATATGCTTGAGAGAGATCTTGATTAGAAAAAAAGGATTTAAGATGGATAAGCAACTTATTTGATGCTGTATACCACTGTACAAAAGAAAAAAAACCAATAGATTACTCTATATTTTTAAAGGGAAAACAATGGTTTTTTTTTTTAAAGATTCTATTTATTAATAAATGATTATGACTTGATCGTCCAAAGCAATAATTTCTCATTGCGCCCGAAAGTCGTTGGTCGCCACAATTCTATGAATAACGTAACGCTACGACCTGCGCGCAACAGATAACTTTTTAATGACGATTTGTTCAGATTGCCAACGACAATCAGCAGACAGCGTCACATCATCCAGTGCTCACAGGAAGCGGAGTCGGATATGTCACATGACGGTCGTGATGAAGTGATTTTCCGGCTTAAGAGAACCAACCTCTATATTGCAGTGCACGTAACTTGTTCTTCAGTTCTTTGTTTATATCAAATGAAGCTTGCAGCTTTCTTTGAATCTCTTCAAACTCTTGTTTGTGTTTTCTGAACTCCACTGCCATTGGCATACACTCATATTTACATTTGTACCGCTGCCAGGTTTCTTCATAATGTAACAGCGCCCTCTCTATTTCAATTCTATTGATTTTAAATAAAATGATCATCATAAACAATAATAATTATCAATTCTCAGCTATAAATACTATCGAGCACTTCAAAATTATATTCATCAAGTACATTAATTTAATAGTGAATCATTTTACTTTTGTTTTTGCCAATCATCTTGTGAAGACTGGTATCGCTGTGACAACGCTTCCTGGTGCTGGACTAGTACAGTGTAATGCCTCTTCAAACTACAATAAAAAAGGTAAACATAATTTAATAGCAAGTGTTTAAACATACAGCTGTTTAAAGAACAGTATTTGAGAAATCAGCCTTCAGAGATAAGATTTCGGGCATTTCTCATGCAGAAACCATCATCAAATCCTTAAAAATTGGTGTTTTAGCTTTGAAAATGGGAAAAATCACAGCATAGTGTGATGTTTAGATAAGAATATAGTTAGTTTAATAGTGCAATAAAACAGATTAAAAAAATGTTGACATTTCAGCATGTTTTGGTCATTATTTCTGACGAAGAGTGACTGGTTTGGCTTGTCTTTGCCACATGTTGTACAAACACCAATACTATTTTTAGTACAATAAATACTGTAAAAATAAAGTATTACAAACTCATAGACTGAATATCATAATCTTTCTATAAAGAACCAGAAATATTGCAGTCAATCAAATGCAAATAAATTGATAACAAATTCTTATTCATAAGTGGAATGAATCTAATGTAATTACAATACGAATATATATCAAACTCAGCCACCAGTCTTGCATGTGCAAACAACCAAGCGAAGTCTACTTATTTGCACATTATGTGTATTCACTGCCTCTCAAGGCAAAATTAACACTGAAAATTACATGTGAGTTGCTTGAACACGTAAGCCTAATTGCTAAGCTAATTTGCTTACATCAGAGAGAGGCTTAAAGAACATTTTCAATTGCAAACTTACCCATCTACACTGTCTCTATTTTGCCTAAACTGATGGTGTACTCTTTTTGTATCCTCATCTAATTTGGAGTTTGCCTCCTCTAAGCTCTTGATCTTGCCTTCAGTCTCCTTCAATCTAATTTCTAGTGCTAATGATGGACAAGATATTATTCTATCAAGTACAAATTGTGCTTCACCTAGAAGCTATCCAAGCATGAGGGAGGGGGGAAAGGGGGAAGAGATGGTTGTTGACTAAATTAAGTCAGCAATACCCCCAACTAATCTCCTATGGGACTGGGAGTGAAAATTTGAGTGGTTTAAAAATAGATCAGAGGTTAACAAATTTTGAGAAAAGACATAGAATATTTCAGATCCTACCAGGTGCATAATACCCTGGGTGAAGAGGCAAACATAAAGTGCATTGTCCAAGAACACAAGTGAGTTGCACAACATCAAATTGAGCCTCAGCCTTAAGATTGCAAAATAGAGGCCTAACTGAGCAGCAAAGAATTTATGATCTTACCAGAACTTTGTATGTTCTCCTTCTCAATTAGCTGTAGCTGTCTACTTGTGTCTTGTTCTGTAATTTATTTAGAAAAGGAAATAATTGCTTTCTTCATACTATTTGGTGAGAATGGATATTAAATAGGGCCTTATAAAAACAAGAATATGTAAAATAATAAAGTATATTTGTTGCTTATATTCAAACAATAATTTGTTAAAAATTAATTACTTAAATTATGTCATGAATCATCTTTATATATTGTTGTCAACTGGGATGATCAGTTAAGTTTGAAACTCTGGAAAATTCATTATAATAGGTCCTGGGTCACATTGATAACATACAACAATATGATTTTTCATTCAACTTTATATATTAATGGGATATTCAATTGTGCTTACCAAGACTATGTAGAATCTTGTCAAGGTGTGCCATATCTTTTTCTAAGGTACGCACAATAGAGCTACTGCTAGCACAATTATTATTTTCCATCACACCTTTCTTGTAGTAGCTCTAAGAATAGAAAATAAAAGAAGTGTAGGCTCTTAGTCCAAGGAGGAATAAAAATAAAGTCTAAGCAGGAATGGATTTAGGGGGAGGGGGGGGGCGGCGAGGTCAAAATTAGGAAAAAAAAAGAAAAAAAGAAAGAAAAGGAAAAAAAGCCCAGCACGCCTCAAATGTTATTTTTGGGCGTTTAGAACACAAACATTTTGCGGGGGAATGCCCCCGGACCCTGTAGGGCAGTGTTGTCTCGATCGGCCCAACTTTAGGGCCCCCCCCCCCTTTTGGACAACTCTGGATCCGCCCCTGCTAAGATTAGTGAAATGCTTGAGATCTAAATAGGCCTATAGAAATAAGTGCATTATACATTACAGATAATATTTCTAGATGCTGGATTTTGAGACATGAACAGTCATAGCTGTCATACTCATCATAACATGAACAATTTTAATAACTAGAACATATTATCAACAAGAGGCTACCCTAAGATTAATAAGATACAGGCAGGTTGGGCTACTGTATGTCTAAAAATTAATAAATTCTACTAGCTAGCTAGGCCAGTCAATCTATTTTGAGCTAGGCCTAGGGCCTGGCCTAGCCTAGGCCTGGTTTTTGAGGTATCATCCATGCAATTAAAATACTTTACTTTAGGGCCTAGGCCTAGGGCCTGAGCTGGTAGGCGGTCCTGGGTAAAAAAGAAAAAGCAACAATTAAATCATTGATTACATCTATAGGATCCATATAAGACGGGTAACACAATTTTATAAGCTCATGCATACTTTAAAATACCACACGCAGAAAACTGCAAAGGCCAGGTGTAGGCCTAGTACTAGTAGAATACTCAGCCTGATTACCTTCTCGTCCGGCTCTCGCGTCGCGTTGTCTGCTCCTATCCTCCTGCGCTCCCATCCATCCCTCTCTGCATGCACTCTCTCGGGCTGGCTGGTGGCTGGCTGTGTTATACCGCCCCCTCAAGATAGGTACAGTATCCAGGGTATTGACGTCATCAAAACTTTTACCCAATCCCTTGCTTTTATTTATTCATTATATTGAATATTCATACAGAATGTAACAGCCTGTTTTACTGGTCCTGCTTTCCGATACAATCTTAAAGTACTATATAAAATATCACTTCCCTAATCGTTTATCAATTAGTCAGTCAATCAAATACTTTTTTTTAGACAATGGCTATCTCTTTAGAAAACAAATGAGATTCAAACATATTACATCATCAATTTTCTGTCAAACAAACTATATTGTACCCATTAAGTTGAGTTTTAGTAGCTACACCGGATCATTTCCAAATCTTACAAAAGTTATAAGAATTTATTTCACTAAACTGAATATTTGCAGATAGTGATGTATATAAAATGTACGGTAAATACATGCATTATTAACGCATATTCATTATTGAAATTTTAAAATAGCTATAGAAAATATATGTTCTAGAAACATTCAATTATACATTATACACATGTATAAACATGGTGTGCCCAACTCTTAGTAAGTAACTTAGTAACTTTATTGCTTCTCTTTTATAACAGAGGCACAGCCGTAAAGACGTGCAACAATAACAAAATCAGTAAAAACTTAATTACTGTGATAAAATATAGTAAGAAAATACTGCGGTAGAACGAAATATAAATTTTAAAAAAGGGGTTTACAAAAATAGTAATAGAGATAAAAATAAATACTAATACTATTAATATAAGTAAGTTGGTTAATACATCCCTTATACACACATACATATACACATACACACAAACATATATATACACATATACATATATATATACAGTATACATATACATATATATATATGTATACACACACACACGCATACACACATGTTTACATATACATACATACATACATACATACACACACAATACATACATGCATAGACGCACACACATACACACACCCCTCCCACACACATATTCACACATACATACGTACATATACACATACATACACAAACACATACATATACATATATACATATAACAGAGTAAATATTGTAAATTTAATTCAATAACATTAAAACCAGACATATTAGTCTTGCAATAGTCAAATACAAAATGATTGATGGTTTCCTTTGTCACGCAGTCACATAATAAGCATAAGCCTAAATTTTGAGGTGACCAGGATTCAACTCCCTAAAAATTAAACATCAATAATAATAAAAATACCTATACAAATACAAGAAAATTATTCTAAAGAATCAATTTAATTTCAATTTATATTAATTGTCAAAATAAATACAATAACATTAAATATCAAGTAGTAATTAATTTTTAAAAAATCACTATCAACTACCGTATCAATGATATTACATCAGCAGTTACCTTTCTGTTTAGTACATAAAAGAAAAAAAAATTAGGAATTGTTGAAATAAAAAAAATGTATATGTATAAGTAGGCCTATATGGTATTGGTGTGTATGTATGTGCGTATATATACAATATATACATGTGCACGTGTGTAAGTAAAATTTTGGAATGAGATGTGTATTAACATATTCAATAAATTACATTTTGGGACCTAAAAGAAAAAGAATATATTAATGTATTTTTTAGAAATTAATAAAAGTTTAAAAGATGAGTTCAAAAAATGACAGTCAGCCATTGCGGACTGACACTTTTTTTCTGATTGGTTTGTCCAGGATAAATTATGAGAAATGGTAACACCAAGAAAACTCTTTGTAGGATTCAATGATAATTGATGTGGACCAAATGTTCAATGCTCTTGTAGAGTTACTACCGTATCTGAACGAATGCACATTGAAAAGAATGTTTTATGCAATTCCAAGTTATTAACATAAACAAATAACATCGTCCCAGCTAGCTAGACAAAACCATTGTGGTATACTACAGTATAGACTGTTTGTGATAATGAAATTTACATGTCATTGCTGTTTTATGGGAATCTTTCTTCACTCTTAATGTATTTTGTCTTCGTTTAGTTCATCTATCATAAAATACAACATTCAGTTGTACCATAATCCCGGGACCATAATCGATATATGCAATTTGGAACGCGTTTCACAACTTAGAAAACGTTATCACTGTGTTTATGGGGTGTGATTGGAAAGCGGAAAAACTTCACGGTTGAATGCACACAGCAGGTACAGGGTTTGCTTCAGGGTTGCCAATTGGCCTTTTTGACGGCCAGATTCCTCAAATCTGGTCGTATAAAAATTTGCCTGGCCGTAACGTTTGAAAAGTCACGGCCAAACTATATTTGGCCGAATTTCGTGTTCGCCCCCCCCCCCCCCCTCTGTGAATAAACGTAACAAAACACTATGGGTCCTGGCTTACAAAATTCATGCTAACTAGCGCGGATCCAGACCTTCGCCCACTTCGCCCAAGCGAAGGTCAGGGTGAGAATTCAAAATAAAATGTTGACCATTTTTTCCAACAATCATACTTACTTTACTTGACACTTATTTTGAACCTTACCATTAGAAAAATGTTTACAAATCCACACTATCCTATACCTTACACTTTTAAACTGATTGTACTGTAGGCCCTACCAGAGAGAAAGGTATATTCCCAAACAATACATTATGGTCTTCCACTTCTATAGCACATGATACAGTGCATAGCAAACGTTATGTAACCACTAATAATACTCAGGTCCAGTGGCGTAGGTATGGGCAGTGCAGGCAGTGCACAGCACTGGGGCCCGGGGCTTTTGGAGGCTCATTCAAAAGGTATAATGATCTAAAAATTTAACTTAAAAAAAAATCCTATTCAAACTTTAAAAGGACCCTTCAATAATATTAGGTTTTAGAGGCTATAGTTATTAATTATATTCATTACAATTTACCTATTAGGCCTAGCTATTTCCCAAACGCTGCAAGTAAAAAAAAACAACAATACAAGCCCTTAGGCCTACGTATACGATGGACTAATATACTTTTTGAAATCACTTTTCTAAAGCAATACAATATCGTCACGCACATTTTGTATTTGTGGTACAGTATTTTAATGTTGGTTCAACTATTATTGTGTACGTTTTCAAACACTTCAGATCATCATAACTTCATGAATACATTTTAGATTCAGTTCACTGCAAGTAGGTCGATGACTGTTCTATTATTGAATGGTAATTGTTATTATCGTGATGGAATATACAATACCTGGATTTGCGCCAGGAGAATCAATTAGGGGGACCTATATGTGTAATTTTGCCCAACCTGTCGTGAAAATGTACTGAATCTCAGTGCGTGTGAAAATACTTGCAAAATATATTTGCAAGTTGTTCTCCAGTGGGACTCGAACCCACATTCTCCAGATCACTAGCCTTGCATCATGCCTTTAGACCACCGAGCTTGCACCTGATGGCCAGGGTTGAATTCGAGCCAAAGTAAGCAGCGAGTACTATTTTTGCAAGTAGTTTTCACATGTACTGAGTATTCAGTACATTTCCACGACGGGTTGGACACAATTCCACCTATATGTTCTATTGATGTTGCCAATATTATAATATAGATTCATGAAATGCTTAATAGGCCCTAAACGATAACATGACTTGACCATAATTTGTTCTCAATATTCTTTAATTTTTTTAACAAAATATTTTTAGACATTTCTGAGCGTTAATGCCGTACCGTATCTGTTTTAAAAAACCTCAGAACGTATAAGCTTTCAGAGTTTCGCCTGAGTAGACCCCACTAGAGGCTCTGTCTCTGGTCCGACCAGGTGCATTTTTACCAATTTTACCTAGGGCCCGGCAGCTATCTATGCCATAGTTACCAACCGTCACGCATCACTTCAAAGTGATATTGGATGAAACGCATTTTGCAGAAACACATTCGAGGTCATAAATGTGTCACGCATTTAGCACTTGCGTGATAACGAATTATCACAAAATCAGGGGAAAACGTATTTAAAATTAGAAGAAATTGGTTTTATTAAAAATATAAAAACGGTATACAGTAGCT